ATCACACCATCATATGCAGCTCTGAACCTCTCCACTGAATAGCAGTCATCCACATAGTCCTCTAGCTTCTGTCCAGGAATGAAAGTGATGTAGGCAATTGCATGCTTGCATGGTATTCCTGTTCCTTGCCACACCCTGCAGACACAGGTTCTCTCCTTTAAGTTCACCACAAACCTAAATGTTGTATCACTGCTCCCCTTTGCACAAACTTCTGCTACTCCATCATTCTCTGTAATGACATCAATGTCTAGGTTGAAGCTGTCCTCCCTCAACTTCTGCACAATGTGGGGTAGGATCTTGCCTTCAAACTTCTTTGCAACTTTTTTCCTGTTATTCCATTTAATCAGCATCTTCTGTTTGATGGTACCCATCAAATCATCTAAATGATTGCCCTTTTCTTTCTTTATCCAATTATTGAAGAACTCAGCTAAATTGTTGGTCACATAGTCAACCTTGCTCTGTACTCCATACTGGCTCCTACTCCACAACTTCTTATGAGTTTCTTGCAGGTCCTTCATACTCTCTGGTTTGGCTCTAGCCATAGCATTGTAATGCTTATCAAACATGTACCTATTGCACTCTCTGTGCTCAGCCTGTGGAAAAACCTCACTAACCCCATGCATTATAGCCTGTCCACAGTCTGTGCTTATTGTCAGACCATCTGGGGTGCCTATTGCATCCTTCAGCCTCTCCATGAACCAAACCCAATTCTCATTTGTTTCAGAGTCTATGATACCTACAACAACTGGGTACATCCAGTTGTGACCATCAACTGCACATGTTATGCATAACTGTCCCCTGAACCTTCCATACAAGAATGTGCTATCTACTGCCAAGTAAGGTCTACAACCCCTAAGGAAACCATCAACACAAGCTTTCATTGCAAAAAAGAACCTATTGAACCTTAGCTTGTTGTTGATTATGTGGTTATCAAACACATACTCATTCTCTGGGTTTGGGTTTGCAAGGACTGCATCATCTGCATTTTCACTGTTTGTTTGACTTGGTTCTGCAAAGCTAGGACAAGGCATGGAAGGAGTCATGGTGGGTTCAACAGATTGCTTAGCAGTGGTATCCCAAGAAGGAATGACAGGAGGGTCAGTGTTGGGTTTATGGTAGGCTAAAGTCATGTAACAACACTTGCTAGCTTTATTTTTGGCAAACATCTCAAGTAACTGTTGGTCATTGGTCAAGGGGATGTTCATCTTTGTGTCATGGCACCAGTAAAACAGACTGAAAACATCCCCATAACACCCAGGATACTTATCCACAATGCCATACACCACATTTGAGTAGTTTGCAACATCAGCATTCAGAACTTCGTTCAAGCTAAACCACGGCGCATAAGTATTTTCAGCAACAATCCGAAATTCTATGTTGTAGCTACTATTTGGATCCATCCTATAGATGAACAACAACGATCACAAAAGGCAGCAATCACACATAACACACTTAGACCTAACTATCCACAATCACCACGAACAAGCAAGCAAGGGGGAAAAATAGAACTCACCCTTCTCAGAACCAGGAAGGTCAGTCGGCCGTCGTCGTGTTCGCCTCCATGGGCCGCCAATGCAGAGGATGAGCAACGTTATCTTCGTTGCACCACTATCCCATGCCGAGGCTCAAGAACGAGGGATCGATTTCTTCTCTCCCCGCCGCCACCGCAGCCAGTGACTGTCCTATCGCCGCTAGGGCTTGGGGGATGGGGACAGAGGAGCAATCGTGCGAGATGGGGAGAGTGAGAGCGGTCAATACCGGTCAACACGGAGACTTGTTTTGTCTCTATACCCATGGGCAACTGGGTCATTTCCCATGCCTGACCCCACATGTCAGGCCTCCCAAATGTCGAAAAACAAGCGGAGAGGCGACGGAATGGCTTGGGCGAAAGAAGTTTCCAAACCCAGGGACGGCAGTGATAGACCCAACTTTGTAGGGGCATTGACGATTAGGCCATCTTTTTTAATGGCACTGGCGTAAAAGGCTCTAGGATTATCTCTCCATTGCTCAGAACCTCGACTCTCATCCCCTCTGTGCCAGCCCCCTTGCTGATGCTGATTCCAGCCCCCTTGTTGATGCTGATTCCAAGCCCCCTGTTGACTCTAGATCCCACTACCTTGAGGATTGCGGTACCAATTCCCTTGCTGAGACTGAGATCGCCCCTGATCCAATCCCCCTTGAATGAAAGCGCGATTCCCCCCAAATCTGTCATGACCTCTATCTCCCTGATTATAGCCCCTAGCTCCTCTCTGAGAATTTTCTAACCTTCTTTCCTTGAAGCCAGCGCGATCTCCCCCTCCTTGGAAATTACCCCCACGCTGAAGCTGTCTTCTGAGATCTTGTTCCTCACCCAAATCACCACCAAGCAAGTCGTCCTCATCCATCCATTCCTCTTGGCGATGCTTGCCTGCCTGACGCCCAGGATCCCAACCTGCCATCCTAGGTTCTGCAACTACCCTCGTAAAGGATTTGGAAAGTGGGAGGGGTTTCGGTAGAACCCTAACCCGATGAGCTGCGTAACCAAAATGGCGGACCTCGTCAAAACTAGTAGGATATTGAGACTTAAGATCCAAACATCCCTTGGGTATCCAAAACCAACCTAGGCCCGGCCCACTCGGAGTCCAGAGTGGTGAAAGCGTGTGTCTAGGTGGCCATTCAGGATAGGACAGGATTTGTCTGCATCTTCCCGCTCTGGAACAGAAAAAGCAAACCCCTGTTCGACGCTTTGACCCCCAATTTGTTGAAGTTTTGCCACACTGGCCATCGATGATTCTAAACGATCATGAGCTTGAGCAAGTTCCTCCATATGACGATCAGAATCAACAAACAAATTCCGCTTAATTTCATCCTCCACTCGCAATTTATGAGCCAGTTTCCCCCCTTTGGTCGACGGCTGATAACCCGATGAATCCACTTTCCAATCATGAAATTGAGCTGGAATCATGGTTAATTGACGCGGGGCACCCTTGCCCAGTCGCAAACTCTCTGAAATAGATGGCCAAATAGGATCAAAATGGGTTAATCCACCTTCAATCCCATGAGGCAGAGTAGATTCTCAAACAGGAATTGCTCCAGAAGATTGAGGAAAAGCTTCCCTAGCTCCCTCATCTGGAAGTATGAATCCTGATAAACGATTCGAACGCTGGTGTTGAGATGCGATGAGATTGGCTCCATGCATAAAACCATCGCAACTCATACAGAGAAACGCCATATCCACAGGACAATGAACTGCGGCCTGTTCGCCGCATAGCAGGCAGCGTGGATCCCCAATCCCGCGAGAAGAAGATGAGTTGCTTACCTCCGGCGGAGATGGGCGGCGCATCTGGGCCCTATTCGCTTGTCTTATAATATGTACTTTTCAGGTTGAACTGTGTTTTTCTCTCACAACAAATCAGCCGGAACAGTGTTTTGGCTTTTTTTTTCAGCGAAGCGAACGGGGCCCTGGTCGGAGAAGATCACCCGCAAACCCTCTCCCTGAGAGAGCGCGTGAACATTCTCCGCCCGCCAGGCGTCACGCCTAGCGACAGCCGAACTCAGAGGTGAGGACGGGAAGTACGACGGGTTATATCCCCTCACCGGTGTCAACCCCCCGGCGGACGCCGGTGACCCTCTGGCCGTCTCCCCGGTCGCCTCTCTGAGTCGCCCCTCTCATTTCCAATTGCGTCAGTTCTGCGATTACTCCACCGAAGTGCCTGCTTCCTCCGGTCAAATATCCGATGGCCGCCACCTGACTGCTGCACACTCAAACACCCTTCAGTTCCTTCCCTTCCAAGCTCCAAGCAATGAACAGAAAGACAAAATCAAAGCCCGCACGCTGTTCCTTATCGATCCTTTTCCGGCACGGCAACCACCAATCCAATCGGCATCCCGTATCCCAGACGCCGGGACAAGTGCCTGGAGACCAAGAGGATGCAAGATCCTTGACGACGACCGAAGACGCAACTCAGCAAGAGGTGTTTCGGTGGTCTGAGTTTGTTGGGTGCACCGTGTGCACAAGCACAAAAGCGCACCACCGTCCGTTGTGGGTTGTTCTGTAGGCTGTGTCGTTGCTGCCTGTCGAACGCCCAACCGGCCAATAAGAAACTGTCTTACGTGTAAGCAGCCAAAATAATGATTGGCTATACAAATTCCAAAACCTGTAAATGCGTTGAATTGTCCCGAATCCATGACCGATCCTGCAACGCTTCCGCAACGACACGACGTTCTGCTGGGGTACAGACGTACAGTCCCGAAGACATGCCTGCGCAACACATATGTTGGCAGCTGGCCGTCTGGACTGGATCGTAGCTGCTTAATGCCGGCAAGTCCAACCTTTTTTTGTGGCTTGTACGATGGACTGGATCGTTTCTCGTGCCGGCGCGTGACTCCGTCACTCGGAAATCCGGCTCCATGGAAACCACGCGATGTCGTACCTGCCGTGGGGCGCGAGCTCCTGAGTCGTGACGCATGGACAACACAGAGGCTCCCAAAATGACCAGCTCAGAATATAGCCACCCATCGAGGCTCCAAACGACCAATCATTGGAACCCCCGCGGCCGCGCGCGCCGGCGACGTCCCCGAGCCGCGACACCCGCACGGAGACACGCCGGGCCGCGGAGCCTGTCAGCCTGCACCCGGACGACGCCCCTCCCGACCCGCGGAATCCCGCAGAAACCCGCCTGCCAACTTGCCCATCGCCATGCCCGAAGCGCCGAATAATCCCCTGGCGATGCGATGCCGCCGCGCTCGGTTTCAACTCCCACCCACTCGCCACCACACTGCCCACTGCCCACCCCGTGACACTACCGATGCCAACGCCGCTGCAGCTTTCCTACGCTCCTCCTCGCCCACCCCACCACCAGTCCACCACCACCACCAAAGCCGTTGGCGCGCAGGCAGGCAGACGCCTTTTGACCCCCAGCCAGTCCCCCCCACCCCACGGCCGAAGCCACGCGCGACGCGTCCATACATAAACATAGCCCAGCGAACCACTCCGAGCGCGCGCGCGGGGAAGGGAGGGGATGCGGAAGCTGAGGGGCGGCGGGGAGAAGGTGGGCGTGCTGGCGCTCGAGGTGGCGGCGCTCATGTCGCGCGCCGCGCGGCTGTGGCGCGCGCTGGACGCCGACCACCTCGCGCGGCTCCGCGGGGAAGGCATCCGCCTCGAGGGCGTGCGGCGGCTCGTGGCCGACGACGACGCCGCGCTCCTGGCGCTCGCGCTCGCCGAGATGGCCGCGGCCTGCCGCGACCTCGCCCGCGACGTGTCCCGCCTCTCCGCGCGCTGCGCCGACCCGCTGCTCCGCCGCTTCGACGCCCTCTTCGCCGCGCTCGTCAAGCGCGGCGGCGCAGACGGAGACCCGCACGGGCTGCGGTACGCCGCGGCCAAGAAGATGGACCGGAAGGCGCGCAAGATGCAGCGCCTGGTGGCTGTCACCGCGCACCTGTGCCAGGAGCTCGACGTGCTCGCCGAGCTCGAGCAGCAGCAGCAGCGGCAGGCCCACCACCGGCCGCGCGCCCGCAGCTCCAAGGGCGCTGCGGCGGCGACGGCGGGGAGCAGCAGCCAGGCCGAGTGCGCGCGCCGCGTGGCCAGGCAGAGGCAGGAGGTGGAGCGGCTCCGCGCGGCGTCGCTCTGGGCGCGGACCTTCGACTACGCCGTGCGCCTGCTCGCCAGGTCGCTCTTCACCATCGTGGCCAGGATCATCGAGGTGTTCGACCTGGAGCCCGTGGCCCTGCTCCTCTTCGCCTCTTCCTCCGTGGACGACGACTCCAGGGCCTCGCGCCTGTCGTGGGGCACCTCGTTCGTCCAGTCCATGGTGTACCCTTCCGACGCCGCCGACGCTCCTCGGAAGATGCTGCTGCGTGCAAGGTCCGGCAAGGTTACCGCCACCGGCGCTGCCGACGCGCGTCGGTTCGTCATGTCCAGGAGCAAGAGCCTCAGGCAGCAGCTTAGCCTCAGGTGGCCGGCAGCCGGCAAGCACCTGATCGGCTGCGTCGTCATGGATCCCAGCAGGTCTCCTGGCAGGGACGGGTGGATCCACGCCGACGACGCGGCTCATCTCCCGCTGAGCTTCAGCTACGTGTCATCAGCCGGCAGCGCCGCCGACGACTTCAGCGGCGGCAGCGGCATCATCAGCTTCCACTCCCAAGCGGCGGCGGCAGGCGGCGGCGACGCGAGGAGGAAGCCATGGACGACAACGACGACGTCCGTGTTCCACTCCTCCTCGCGCGACGTGGTGACGCACCCGCCGGAGTCGTCCCTGGGCGCCGCGGCCCTGGCGCTGCACTACGCGAACCTCATCATGTTCATCGAGAAGCTCGCCGCGTCGCCGCTCCACATCTGCCCCGACGAGAGGGACGCGCTGTACGGCATGCTCACCGACAGGGTCCGGGCGTCCCTCAGGGAGCGGCTCAGGCCGGCGCATGCCGCGCCCTGCGACGACCCCGTGCTCGCCGCCGAGTGGTCGGACACGGTGCGGAGGATCCTGGCGTGGCTCGCGCCGCTCGCGCACAACATGGTCCGGTGGCAGGCCGAGAGGAACTTCGAACAGCGGAGCGTCGCGTCCGGCGGCGATGGCGCCACCGTGCTGCTGCTGCAGACGCTCCACTTCGCGGACCAGAGGAAGACGGAGGCCGCCGTGACGGAGCTGCTCGTTGGCCTCAACTACATGTGGAGACATGGGACTGACCTCGAAGCCGAGGTCAGCTTAGAGTCTGCGGCGGGTCGGCGGTGACAACGATGATGATTGGGCGGCGACATGCATGTGTCAATATCATATCTGAATTCTAAACTACATGTGGAGACATGGGACTGAGCTTGAAGCCAAGCTCAGATCGGAGTCAGCGGCGGGTCGGAGGCAACTATGATGATGATTGGGCAGGGTGTGTTAAGTACAAACATCACCTTTCGGACAAAGCGACCGTTGCTAATTTTGCTCCGTCAGCGATATTCTGAGCAAAATCAAGCGTGCCAGTGTAGTGGATGCTGCGAAAATTGTCACGGTCTGTAGTTCAGATAGGTACTCCCGTGTAAAGATCGACGCCTACTATGTAGCTAGTGGTATGTACTAATAATAATAAAGGAGAAACGTCATAACTGTTTATCCGGAACATTTTCTGAGGTAACAAGGAGGAACCTCCTTAGCTGGTCAAACTTGTAATCTGACAACTCATGACTAAACAGTTCTAGACTCTACGGGCAGTCACAGTGTATTAAAAAAGCACTTGCTCCATTCTAATTAGTATAAGATGTTTTTTGCTTTCTCAGATACATTTGTTTAGATATATATAGCTAAAATCAATATAGCTAAAAAAGACAAAACATTTTATAATTTAGAAAGGAGAGCGTAGTATAAAACAACAAATCCCGCAACAGTGATGCACCTTAGCTATTGTAAACTCATCCTGTAAGTTTCCGACAAGTCTATTGTAGGCTTACGATGCGACCGTAACGAATAAAAAAAAACTTTCTTCCTCTTCTTCTAGTTACTTCACGCCCATGCTGTTGGAGGGGAGACGACAGTTTGTTGATGGCGGACGACAAGACGTTGAGCTCGGGGCGGCCATACCTCTTACATGAGGGGTGTTGACAAGCACAACAAGGACGAGGGAGGTTGCCGAGGTGTAGGCTCTTAGCGATGGGGTCAAAGGTGCAATAAACCTTGAACTTAGCGGGCCGTGCCGTGGTGCATGCCTCTATGGTTGCGGAGTCCAGAGTTTGCAACCTATGCTATACTGACGATGTAAGTGCCAATGTTCTTTATTGTTTCTGATATGATGTGAGCATTGGTGAAAGCTCTAATTTGATTTTGGTGAATTGATGAAACCCTAAGTGCTAACATAGTTTATCAAGTGATCATGAGATAGGTAGCACATTCCAAGTGGTGAAGCAAATAAAGATCATGACATGATGATGGTAATGCCATGGTGATGATCAAGTGCTTGAACTTGAAAAGAAGAAAGAGAAAAACAAAAGGCTCAAGGCAAAGGTATAAATGGTATGAGCCATTTTGTTTTGATGATCGATACACTTAGTGAGTGTGATCACATTTAGGATCGATAGCCGTACTATTAAGAGGGGTGAAACTCGTATCGAAATGCGGTTATCAAATTGCCACTAGATGCTCTAACTCATTGCATATGCATTTAGGATCTAGTGGAGTGTTAACACTCTTAAAAATGTTTGTGAAAATATGCTAACATATGTGCAAAAGGTGATACACTTGGTGGTTGGCACATTTGAGCAAGGGTTAGAATCTTCACCGGCGGAGTGTCCGCCCGTAGAGTGCGGACAGTCCGACGGTGTCACCGGCGCCCTAGACAGAAAAGACGGAGATCACTGAAAGTGACCGGACGCTGGCCTCGGATGGACCGGCGCGTCCGGTCAGTAGAAGCTATAAAGACGCTGGCGTCGGTCTCTAACCGGACGCTGGGTCACTTAGTGACCGGACGCTGGAGGGGTGCGTCCGGTCCTGCTGATGTGGCAGTGAACAGAAGAGTCACCGTATGACCGGACGCTGGGCGAGTCCAGTCGAGCATGACCGGACGCGTCCGGTCGTGAAAAGTCATCTCTGGATGCTTACTGGAAACGACCGAACGCTGGGGTTCAGCGTCCGGTCACTTTGAGCTGTTACGTCCGGTCATCACATGACCGTTGAGATCGAGCGCTCAGTATTTGAAGAGAGGGGACACGTGGCACGCATTGTGTGACCGGACGCTGAGGTCCAGCGTCCGGTCACCCCATGTTGTGCCCAGTGAAGGGGTACAATGGCTCTATTTCGTGGGGGGCTTCTATTTAAGCCCCATGGTCGGCTCTGTCACAGAATCGACCAATTTATAAGAGCACAAGTACAAAAACAATCGCCGAAACGATCAAATTCTCGAACTTGAGCCCATATAAACCCGGTAGTCAACTGAAATCTCGAAGGATTTCAAACCAACTTGCATACAACCAAGATCACAGTAATTCAACATAACATGTCGTACGTTACAACATTTCATAGACGTTCGCAAATAGATTACATCATCACAGAGTCATCGTTATTACAAAACAAGTCTTGTAAAACATGCGGAAGCAAATAGTTTAACTTACACACCCGAGTTCAAATACACACACTGGTCCGCTGATCACAGCCCGCAAAAGCATTCAGATAAGAGAAAAGAGATCATGCCCATGATCTAGTCTTCATCACCCGCCGGGTGGAGACAATACTTACAGAATCCCTGATATAGAAGGTCATCTGCAACAAGAGGGAATAAACCCTGAGTACGGGAATGTACTCAGCTAGACTTACCCGTCGAAAACCAAAATAAATGACACCAAGGATTATGCATAGCTTAATGTAGTGGATCTGGCTGACACTTTCTTTTTGTAGAAAAGCATAAGTAATAATGATCAACTCTTAGCCTGAACTAGCAGTGACTTTTTAGCCATTAACCTGTCATCTATATTAGCACCTATACTAAGCAATCATTTTATTAGGGTGCAAACATTAATAACCATATCAGGTATTCATTGTGACAACCTTATCATCATCATCCATTTAACCATATCGTTAAAATTAATTGAATCTACGTTGTCGCTGCTCAGTCAAGTTCTCACTATCTGGGAGAGACGGCGATTCGAATCGATTCCTATCCAGCTGGAGGGGTATTCCTAAACACAAACCCTGCTTCCCCCGTCGGAGTCACAAACAAGTCACCTTTGGTACGATTCAGGAGTCGCGAGTCCGATCAGATCGACATTCTCATAGAACCACTCTGCCAAGGCTGTTCGGGACTCTAACCCGCCTTGGACTTATGCCAATGGCTCTCCGCACATCCTTACTACCTCTAGAATGCCGCCACTGCTCGCGTCCCCGGCCTGAGTCGAGCTACTAGGCTTTGTGGTCGGAACGACTTATCCAGCCAGCTAAGTGTTAGGTTGCGTTCAACATGACATGAGGACGTACAGCGTATCGGTCCTTAAACGACTCAGATGGAGTCACTATGTTCAAACCTACACAAGACCCCGCCTAGTCTTAATTCATTATTCACATGGTTCTTTTCCACGATAGCAAATATAGCCAACCGTGATCCACCTCATCCTAAAGCTCGCAGGTGACAGGAAATCACCTGACTTCTACCGCACTAAGCATGGCTAAGCATTTAACCCGTTCCTGAACTTAAATAGGATTCCAGTGCGATATCTGGACAAGGAAGGATATATAATGCAGCAATTGGTTCCAACCAATTCCTATACTTAATGCATCATCAACAATAAAAGATACTCAGTGTATTTGTAAAAACATGGGAGGCTTAATACATGAAAGTGCATTTGCCCCCTATGTGGGTTTTGGTGTATTGATGACATTCAAATTAGGGACTAATGTGATCTTAATGAGATATGTTGCAGCTATTAGTCCCATGAAAGATTCAAAGAGTTGATAAATATGAAATGGTATCCCTCAATTCTTAAAGTTGTAAAGGCGGACGAACTCAAAACTATCTCCAAAGGGTTTAATTTTGTTTTTGATTTTAGGATCCGCCGCACTATAAAGAGGAATGCAAGTTTAGTGTCTGAGGAAGATAGAGTGCTCAAGCATTTAAATAAATCAAAAGAGAGTCACTCTAGCTCTTCACGCGCACTTAGAATATTTTTCTATGACTTTCGGTGTCGGAAGTCCCGACGTAAGTCGGAACTCCCAACAGTCGGAAGTCCCGACCTAAGCCAGGAGTCCCGGCACCTGTGCTTCTGACTGCTCGCTGTCTGTGCTCGTCGGAAGTCCCGACGTTCGTTGGGAGTTCCGACAGTTGGAAGTCCCGACGTTCGCCGGGAGTTCCCGACACTGACCTGACCCAAGCCGGAGTCCGGCATCGGCGATCTTGATGTTTGTTTGACTGAGCACGTCGAATTCCCGGCGCCCGTCGGGAGTTCCGACCGTCGGAAGTCCCGACGTTTGCCGGGAGTTCCGACACTAACTTTCACCCATGGACTTATGACACATTGTGAACAGTATTTTCTGTTGATGTCGGAAGTCCCGAGATCTCAAGGCGGACTCCGACGAGATCCGAACGGTTGATTTTCACTTGGAGTATAAATACTCCTCTCTTCACTTCTAACCTAATTTACGGACTCATTTCACAGTTGACTCACTTCGTGGTGAACAGCTCCCACGCAACTAAAGCACCCCTCTCCTTCCTCCTTTGCTCCAATCTTCGATTCCCTTAGTTTTTGAGTGAAATGAGAGTGGATTAAGTGAGAGCATCACTTTGGAAAGCTTGAGCACTTGATTTCTTCATCAAGCCGGTTGTCTTTGCGTCTATTACTCTTGGGGCTTTGCCCCTAGCTGGCTAGGCGTTGCCCAAGAGCTTCCATCTTGTGGAAGAGCCTTGGGAAGTTTGTATCACCCTTCGATTTCTTAGTGGAAAGCTCAAGTGACCTTTGTGGTCGCTTTGAGAGAGGCAAGGAGGTGAAAAAGACTCCGACCTTAGTGGTCACCTCAACAACGAGGACGTAGGAGCTCCTTTGTGGGGTTGCCAAACCTCAGGATAAATCTTTGTGTCCCGCGTGCTTGTTGTTGTTGTGATTACTTGAGATTACTTGTATGTGTTTGCCTCTTTGTCTCTAATATCTCCATTTTAGGGTTTGGACTCGATCTACGATTTGGAGGCATTACGGCGTCAAGGAGTGACCAAACATCTTCACCAAACTACTAGGAAGTGAGGTTGTAAGTTTATTTATCCACAAAGTTAA